TTTTGAGAGCCTGGTTAGTTCAGAAATGGACCACATTGCCTGAACCCCATTAGGACATGCCTTGAGAGCATTAGTCACTAGCAATGTCTCAGCATGTGCTGTGGACCAGCTTACGTGAAGTGGCCACCTATAGTCAGAGAAGGAAAGAGTCCGGGAGATCTGGTTTCATCAGCAGAAAGATACATATGAAGTAGTCTCCTCTCCTCATTCTTAAAATGTCCTCGTACAGTTCAGCGGAATAAAGATACACCGATTGCTTTAACTAAAACTCTAGCACCATCTTGGGGTGGAATTTCACTGTAATACTACAAGTGTTCGGTGAATGAACTATATTATATAGGAACTGCAATAACACAGCTGAAAACCTCCTTACTCTATTGAGCAATGCAACCTTTAGCAGAAAACTAGTCAGTTGAAAGGTAATTAAGCTTGGATTTATGACCGATGGACAGGCATCATGAGTAATTTCAGTATTATTAGTAGGAAACATACCTACTGGAAAGTCTTACATGTATCAGTCTCAAGTAACCTCTAATTCCATTCTTGCGCAGACAGTATCCATCTTGCAGAAATACAACACAGGTGAATTTCTAAACTCTTACTTTTTTTAACTAAACTGAGTCTCAAAGATACTGCTTTCTGTCTTGTTACTGACAAGTTTCATTATTAAAATCCAAAATAGTTTACAGACAGAGAATTAGGAGGCTTTCTTTTAAAAAAAAAAAAAAAGCAAGCATCTCAGAAACTATACACATCAACAAACTGACCTTCTTAGTTTTAGGTGTACCAGACAGGAATTAAAACAACAACAAAACCACTAACAAAAAAAAGTCATTTAGTGCCGACAGAAACAGCTGGTTTTACTTAAAATTTGAGGCAGTAATTTCAGGATAAAATTTCTTATTTTCTTTAAAGGACTTTTACATAAATACTTCCCAGTCCTAAACAGTTGGGGTTTTTTACACAACATTTCATTAGAATGGATACCTTTGCTAGTTAATTGTAAACCAACATTTTAAAATTTCTTCTACAATTCAGAAGAATAAAAATTAAGATGAAGTCTCTATTCAAGGTCAATATTAACAAGCTTTTTAAAATTTGAACAATTCTTCAGCACATCTTTGAACGGCTATTTATACTCCATTCAAGTGTTTGGAAAAAATAAACTTTAAAACTGCAGTAAGAATAGCAATTGATTACTACATTAAAGTACTTGTCTTAAAAGTTCTCACCATCACTCTGTCTTCATTTTCTGGCAAGTTGCAACGTACTTACATTTTCTCTGCTTCTGACTGCATCAAGAGCATCTGCAGCTAAAGATTCATACGAATATAGACAACTTGAGACACCAAAATGCTTGTCACACAAAAAATACTGTCCTCAGAACATACATACATTAACAATTTGCATTTTTACATATACCAGATAGTATCTGTCAAAATCAGGCCTCCTCTCACAAAAGAACTTAGTCCACAACATGCTTTGCCGCTGCAAGACACAGTGATGCAGAGCAGTCAAAAGACTGCAGCTTCCCTGACCTGTCATACTCCATAACTTAGGAAATGTTTTAGAAATAAACACCAAACCGTAGGCTTTTTGAAGTCAAATGTTTGTTTTCTGCACCATAAAATTATAACTAAGTCTTGGATTTCTGTCTCAGACTAGTGTTTTACAGCATTACTCTTTTTAATAAGAGACAAAAAACTGAATTCAAACAAAACTAAGCTGCCAAATAAAGTACTCCCTAAGAATGAATACTATGTGAATGAAAATCCGCAAGAGACAACATTTCAAAATATTTATTTCAACCATTAAATGAAAGATTGACAAAACAGTGTTTACTGTTATCAAGTCAATTTTCATCTAATCTATTTTATGACTTCCTCTCCCCATCAAGCATCTTTCTGAAGTGATCACCCAATTTTAGGGCCTTTGATTACTGGTAGTGGGGAGGACGCAGACTATCTGCAATTTCTCAACATGTTACTGGTTTAAGTAATTAAATATAAACATCAAAATTATGGTACCTGGATCTCTCTCATTTCCTATGAGGGTTAGAAAAGTTATTATTAACCCTCAATACCCTTTCATCCTCTGCACATTTTTCCCCCTAAAATAGATCAGGCTGCAGAACCCTAAAATCTTCATTTAATTGTCTCCCTATTTTGTTTTTTTTTTTTCCTTTGTGTGTGTGTACACATACATGTGTGTATACATACTCTTTCTACAGACACACACAGGGTAAACATTCTAACCATTTCACTTAAATACAATTTTATTTAAATATACTTAAGTTTAAATACACTAAGACTTCTTTCGATTACTCCCAGTAATGGAGCTACCTCAACCTTGCTTGCTTTGCTCCAATGCTAAGGTTGAAAGAAGAGGTTAGGCTGCAAGAGCAAGTGTTCCATATCTGTGTGAGGATATTGGTATTTCTGTATTCACCTACTTTGAAAAAAGGATCACAGAAGGATAGCAAAACTATAAGCAAGCTCCAGAACTGCCCATGTGAACTACTGCCAGACCTATTGCAAGAAGAAAAACCTGTGAGAACAAAGCTGCTAGTTGACATATTTATGAAGATCCTAATGAACACATCCAACTTCTATCTATTTGACAAAAAAAACTCTACATTTTCAGATGATTCAGAAAACAATTTAAAAAAATTCAAGTGGCATTGGAAAAAAGTATTTATTTGTATCTCAACAGTTTTTATAAACGCTCTTCACTCACACACCACTAATTGTCAATTCTGGCTACAGTTAACAGAGTATTATCTTTTTCTGGAGATGAAATCATGAACATTGCATGGGGCAGCTTGAATGCCTCAGCAGAAATAGTATTGTGACATCATGTTTCACAGTCCAAAAACTACTGATTATTCCCATCAGATTAGCACACAAAGTACAGAAACCAGCCAACATAGGAAATATGTTTGAAAAGCAGAAAGAAAAGATATTTTAAAGTAACTTTTAAGGTATCACTAGCATCAAAGCAGGATCACCCTTCCCCCCAACTCCAGGGAAAAAAAAACCCACCAACCCCAAAACCAACTATATTTCTCTCTTATGCAGTACAAGTGTTAAACTACCTACAGAACAGCTTTAAGTAATAACTTTCTGTTTTTAAAAGGTTTAAAGGTTCCACCCTGTGTTTGAAAATACATTAAAAAATTATAACCTACAATTTCATTAAAGACAACAAATGTGCAAGCTGAATTATCCAGGCATGCAAGAGAAGTCAAAATAGCCCTGAAATAACACAAGTCTACAGGTTGTAGATTATAGGTTAATGTCGAACAATAAAAAACGGACAAGGTGGCAGGAGTCGAAGGAGGAAGTTACTTGTTCAGTGTTTCAGATCACACATCTTTTTATGCTTTCAAAACTCCAGCTGAAGGGTTTCTTCCCTTCTTCTTCTGTTTTAGACTATACAAAATTTCAAGTGGAGGCAGACCAGGGATTATTAATAGATTTACCTCCTTCCTTTTTCTTTTCAGCTGGATTTCTCTGTATGATATAAATTTAGTTCTAAGTGATGCTCCTTGATTTTCAGCTATGTGAAGATGCATCAAGAGAATAATTTATAAAGCTAAAAATCAATCATCAGTATTCTTGTGGTCTACGTATGAGACTACTACTTTTTGTTGTTCATAAAATGAGTATACAAAGATAGTCATATCCTCAAGAAAGACATTACTTGTTGCAATTATTTCTTCATATTTGCTTCATATTTAAATTAACTTTTACTGTAGTCAGAGTGCTGACCTCAATATTCTGTAACTGTAAGAGCAGAGCAAATTACCAACAAAATTATATTTTGCATCACTTTGTTAGGATACTAAGTAATGGGAAAATGGGAGTTCAGAAAACTCCCAATTAATCAATTAGCACTTTAGTAACTGAACAAATGCTCAAGTAGCTTCACAAACAGTAAGTATGATGGCAATGCTGCTGAAGGTGGTGGTGGTGGGAATAACCACACAAGTCAACCCCACTTCCTTCACTATCCTTGGCCACATAACTTCCCCGCTCTTACTGGCCCAAGTGTCCATGCTACAAATCTGACCAGGAAACCTCTCTGGGTTAACACTTCCTCCACCCCAACCAGGTTAATCTCAGGAAACTGATTCACTTTCCCAATTCAGTTCCCCACACAGCCACACAAATGCTTGCGCAAGCACAAACTGTGACTAGGAAGCTGTATGGAGCAATAATGCAACCAAGCTGCACAGCCGGGGTAGAGTTTCTTCTCACAGTAGTGACAGATCAGACTATTTCTAGTTCTGTAAACTAAAAGATAGACTTTCTCATTTCTGCTGTCTGAAAAATCTCCCTGGAGAGCTTTCATTGACCTGTGCTACAGATAATGTTTTCTTTTTAAATATTTCCTTCGACGTCTCTCCCTTTCTCCACTTTTCCATTGAGCTACATGGTATCTGCTGCCTCTGGTATCTTCCTTCAACCTGTTGCCTTCACCTCTCCTCACCTTCTCCAGTCAGTGCACTTCAACTCCACTTCCACTCAGTGATGTAATCTGGTAAGTGAACATTTGCTACTATACATTGCATTTTATTTAGCAATTTTGGATTACACATACAGCATGGACAAAGCAAGATGGCTTTCTGGCCAAATATTCCATTCCTTGCTGCTCACACACAACACAAAGTAAATTTAGAATTTTAAGAAATATCTTTATGCAAAGCTTTGTGGTAATTTCAACACAAACTGGTGCATTGCAACTGTCCCCGACAAGAATAGGTGAGGACTTATAGATAGGAAAACATGACACTACATAGTACAGAATCTTTTGTGAAATCTTGCTGCCATACAGAGATTTCATAATTTCCTAAAGAAAAATAGAGAACTCTCAGAGAACTCCTGGGGAACTTGCATTTTAAGAAGCCAGACATTAAGAGATAATCATCACAAGCTAAATATATCTAACACAAAGAAGGACATAAAGTCTTAAGAATCTATTAAATAGTCCAAACTTACTTCGTCAGAAGCAGAGCGAAGACACTGGACAGCAGCCTGTTTTTTCATTTCCTCTAGTGTTAGATCAGAGCACTTTTTCTTACTCTTTCCCCATTTCTTGTAAGCTCCCTTTTCCCAGCCCAGGAAGATGTCATTCTCCTAAAATCAAAATAAATAAATTACATTATTTAAAATACATTAATATCTCAGTACTACAGCAGAACAGGACTACAAATAACATACTGTTCAAAATAAAAACAACCTCATCCTATCTACTAAAAACTACTTTTGCCAAATTAAAGATTAGTTTGATTATAGAAAACTTGCACTTACTATTCAGAAAAGCACATATATTTTTCACATGACAGGGAGGCTACTCACACTTCACTGCAATATTTTCCAATTGCAAAGCCTATCCATAAAGATCATTTTATGGCCAACTTGTGGTTGAATGTATTACTGTAATTTACACAAAATATGTTAGAGAGTTTCACTGATCTCTGAAATAATAAGGATGAAAAGCAAGTAGTTCAGAGTTGGGATCAAACTTAAGAGAAAGCTAAACAAGCCAAAAGAAGAAAATGCAATGTTAGATCCCAAAGCCTTCAACTCAGTCTCACAATGAACATCATTATGACTAGAGATAGCAGTGCCTATCTTGAAATGAACCTGAACTAATTTCAGAAGAAAATTAGACACTGTGGGTGGGGGTGTTGGGTTCTCATACATGTAAGAACGTTTAGTTAAGAACAATAAAATCAGAGTGCTATTGTATTATATGTAATAATCTGAAGATATGTAGCATTGGTTTTATATCGCTTTTCAGAATTTACAAAATTTATTATCAGACTTGCTTATTCTTCACTGTCCACTCACATATATACACATGATTTCCCATGTACATCTCAGAGAAAAATTTTGGCTACCAGGAAAATAATCTTGAACGTCTTTTAATGTACGCTGGTCTAAATCACCTTCTTCAGAGAGATCCACAAACACCTGATGCTTTTCAACATACCTGTTTCAACCTTTTCAACATATCTGTTACTGCTTCCAACAAAATCCAGGCTAAGGCCTACCCTCATTTAAAACACAGCTTCAAAATGAAGTAAAAACAAGTTGTCAGTGAACGTAGTCGTCTCTGTGCAATCACAGAATAAGATGGGAAAAAAAGGGGGTGAAGAGGGACCAGTGACCTTCAGAAGCAGCCATTGAAATGGCCGCTGTTCATGATTTTACATGACCGAGTCCTTCAGGAAAGACTGGAGCAACTTGTTGAATTTATTTCTTAAAGTCTTATTTGATCATCAAAGTGGAGAAATGGATTTAATTCTGAAAGAACAAAAAGCTACCAGTCACCCTGTTTTTCCTTATACTTGTGCAAGATGCCAGTGGTTCATTTAAAACGAGAAATTTGAACAGGCTACTGTTCTGTTATTAGAAAGACTAACAGAAAGAAATAATAGAAAAAAATAAGAAAAATAAAATTCTCAGAAAACAGGTTCAATAGAATGTGCCAATCTACACTCCATTTTTTTTAAAATAAATTCATAAGTGTCTTCCAAAATTTTAGTTTATATATTTCTTTATATACAATGAGGCTGTAGAGCACTCTAACTCTTCCCAATATACACGTGAAAGTATACAAACTGATGAGACCCACCTACCCCTCATCAGCTTCTAAAGCCTGGCCTGCTCATCCACATGAGCACAATTACGAATGAAAAAAATACATACCCACTTGTAATACGTCACTCAAAATGAAAATCCAGGCACACCAGCAAATGCGCACTGGGTTAACTTCATTTATTCTGCTTTTAGGTGAAAAGTTGATTAAGGCAACATCTACACTAGGAAAACGCTACCAAAATGCTAAAGTACTTTGTTTTATCTATGCCGACAAAGCTTTGCTTTGTACTGGTACGTTACAGCTAACCTCTGCAAGAGCAGCTTTACTAGCCGTATACGTTAGCAGTCTGTCAGCAGAGCAGTAAGAACCTTCATGCTTACAGAAATTTATAAAGCGTTTCATGCTGTTCTCCACACACATAATTTGAAAGATATCTGACACTCGTCTACAAACTTTGATTATTTTTCCATTTTTAAAAATTTAATCCTTGCAACAAATACCCAATTTTTTAAATGGGGAAAGGGAGACTGAATGGAAGTCTCTCTCAGGCACCCACCACAGAGCTGCGTGTATCACGGTCTCATCCCTCCTTCCAGAGTAAGCATGTTGTTCGGACGCTCTGGGAACAACACAGCTCATCTTGTAGGATGCAGTGATTGAGGACAGAGCTCCGGTAGAATCCTCTCCTCCTTTCTACCTCTTTAGACAATACACTGAAAATTTGTTTCTAAACATACGGTTTTCAGTCACACCTGGCTGCCGGTGCTTCACACCACCACTTTTAAGTTTTATAGGAAAAAAAAACTGTTGAAAACTTGAGGGTTTGAATTTTTTTTCCTGGACAAACTCGCTAATTTTTTAGCCTCAGATTTTACAAGATTAGCAAACACCATGGATTACAGCTACTCCACATAAAATTTTGAAGTTTAAAATCCTCATGTAAACTACAATATTTATCAGCACTATATATGTATTTGATATAGCCTAAATTTATTGAGGACCTTGCACTTTCTGCACACAATTCAAACACCACACCCATAAAACACTACAGAACAGTGAAGAAAAATCCTTACACATAATTCTTGCGTTATAATCTATCAGAACCACTCTGAATCAATTACAAAATAAAAAAAGAAGAAAAAAAAGTGTTACAGTAGAATGGCTAAAAACCAAGAAAATGTCACATAGCCTAGAGAATGAGTTTGTAGAACCTGAGTTATGAAACACAAAGCGAGTGGAATTCTGCTTTTACGATGACTAAATTAGTAAAAAAAAAAAAGACAATCCAGTAGTTTCAAATGGTTTAAATTAATCTCTTGCTTTTTTCCCCTGCTTTTTTTTTTCCCCTTTGTCTCCAGTGGTCAGGAGCCCATTAATAGGTTCACTCCTCAGACTGGAAAATATTAAGTCCATGACAAACAGGAAAGAAAGCAGTTTAACAAAACATTCTGTATGCATGAAGGCAAGTAAGCTAGTTACTTCACATGGAAAGAATCACTAAAGGGCTTCTGTTCTCTTCAGCTATTAGATGCCTTCGTTTACTTTTGTTTCCTAACAGAACTAGAGATCATATGATAATGCTTATTTTAAGGCAAGAGCTCTACCGTAACTTTGAATTTTCATAATTCTGTTCAGTGGTCTCCGAACGTTTCATAAAAGCAATGCCACCCCAAACTTACAGATTTAAAAAGTGTGCTTACACACAGAAGGAAAAATTGAAATTTGGCTTACAAAATTCTAATGTTTAAAACAGACGACCACTACTTTAATTTTTAAGGGACGACCACCCAATATAAAATAAATACCAACAGGAAGCTGAGGCCACCTGAATATTGGAAAAATTCAAGTTTGACTATCTAAACTGCTATTTAAACATCTGTTTTTCAGAGTCCTATTGTACCTACCTACTACATAACTAGATGATTTCATATTAGAGATTTTTAATTGTAAAGACACTGAAAGTGCAAAGTTTCATGACAAGAATAACTTAAGAACCATAAATGTGGCTAAAGAAATGTTGGTAAAGTATCTATTCTTTATGCTAATGCTGCCTCAAGAAATCCAGTATTTGGAGTGCTTAATTCAATCCTGAATTAATATCCAGGCGCAAATTTTAGAAAGAGATTTCTAAATTGTTTCTCCGGCTCAACTACACAAAAGCAGCAATTCCACCGCTCCCCTCCACCCTACCAAGAAATTGGAGAAGCAAAAGAAAAACCCGTTTGGTAGCGATTCTTCTTACTTTAATTTGTTATAAAGATAATAGAGAAATACCTACTATCAGTAAGACAACAAATGTGACACCTTGTGATAAGACAGAAAGAAAATTGTTTTGAAGCTTATAGTCTACATAAACGAAAAATCAGTTTTAAATACTTCAAGAACCTTGCAGGAACTACCCTTATTTCATAAAAGCTGGAGTCAAGTTCACTGATGCAGAAACACTAGATGACTCAAGGTCCCAGTTTCTATTCAGGTAAGTAAACAGGCTTAAATTTTGTCTTATCAGCAGAACACACAGGAAAGGAATCAGATTTAATAACCTGATCAACAAACTCCCCAAATGGGGAAATCAAATCAGCAGAAAAACATTTTAAAAAAAAATCAGATTTTTTTTTCTTAAAGTAAGTTCAGAGAAACTGATTCCCTGAGATTCTCCCTGTGTAAATGCACTACAGATTGATTTAGATACACACTAAGATGAACAAATATAATGTATATCAAGTTTTCAGATAATGTACTGAACAGCCATAATTATCTATGTGGTCGACATTTCTATTTCCAATTATATACGAGAGACTTTAGGGCAAGAATTTCCATTCTCTTAGAGGAGAGAAGAAAATACTGAGCTAAAAAAAATTCTGAATCAGAGAATTTTGAAGAACTCCTCTTTTTTGAGCAATTTAATTTCAGCACAAACCAGTTGCTATTCAAGCATATTACCAGCCTGGCATTTCTTGCTCTCATAAAAGTTATTGCTGGCCAGCCAAAACGTGCTGCTTCAACAAGCAAGTTCTAGGAACAAGTTCATACAAAAAATAAGAAGCATTCAATGTCATCATTTCTCAAATACAAAATAATCACACACACAGAGTCTCTCCCTTTAAGAATCCAACTCAAAGAATACCATCAAAATGAGTAACCCAAACATCCAGACAAGATCATCTAACGTGAAAAAGAATTCCCAAAATTGTTAAGGTATACAAGCAGAGTCCTGCAAGATTGAATAACATATGTGAACAATTTTTCCTTCTTATAATCCTCAGTTAATAGATTAAGAGATATCTCCAAGGAAAGGGAAAAAAATTACCCTTTTTTTTTTTTTTAAAGGGGCAAACATTTGCCAAAGACTCAGCAGAACAGTCAGTCGGTATTTTTGCCATGAACAGTTTGGAGTTGTATGTCTACCGAATGGCTGGCTGGTTCCTGTCCAGTGCAGTACATAAAGATTAAGTTTTGTCTGCTTGTTCCAAACTGGGGCATTAGTCTGCAGACTACTCTACCAAGCTATAGGGGAAACCTTTCTTAC